GTGCCCAAGATCCTGAGAGGAGAATGGAGGAGAAGGGATTGCAGCGTGGCCATACCCCTTGGGTGATTTCTCGCTTTCTGTCTGTCTGGTGAGCGCATGTGCCCTATAGCAAAAATCTCTCCAAAAAAAAAAGATTTATTTTGTGGGCTAGCAGGTGACATAGAGGTTAAGGAGGCTGGAGCCAGCTGTCCCAGCTGGATCCACATGAACACCTGCGATTTGAATCTCAGACCTACAGCTTGAAAATCACTCCAGGTGTATGTGCCTGCTTGCCCAAAATCCCAAGAGAAGAGTGGAAGAGAGGGGATTGTGGCATGACCATCCCCCCAAGACGTGATTTTTTCAAATTTTTATTTTTTAGAATTATTTAACTTGATTTTTTTAAATAAAAAAAATTGTAACTTAATTGATTTTTTTTTTTTTAATTTGACCAGAGAAAAAGAGAAGGAAAGTGAGAAACCAAGCCACCAGATCAGGGCTTGAGCCGCAGTCAACCATGTGAGAGTCTAGTGCCTTAACCACTATGTCACCTGCTAGCCCCGATTTCTCTCTCGTGAATGCACGTGCCCTAAAACAACAACAATAACAAAAAGTAGTAATATAAAATAAGAAACCAAGATAAATTTTTAAAAATTTTAAGTAGCAGTAAGTATAATGCCTAACTTCTGTATTATACTTTACAATGCATAGTCCAAATTTCACACAATGGCAAACAGAAGAGGAGTTTTCAGTTGAGCTTACAAATAGATTCCAGAGCCAGCTGCCCAGCCTGGTAGTTAAGGCAGCAGGTCCCACATGCAGTTCAAGTCCCAGACCTGGGGGGTTGAGAAACACTCTGCATGAATGTGCCTGGTGTGCTCAAAATTCCAAAAGGAGGAAAGAAATGGAGGAGAGGGATTGCAGTGTGACCATTTCCCCTAAGCTTGGGGTGCTCTTTCCTCTCTCTCTCTCTATATATATATATACACATGTATATGTGTGTGTATAATATCCTATAAAAATATAACAATAAGTAAAATAAAATAATTTTTAAAAGACAAGGACAATTTGTAGTCAGTGGGTTGAATCTTAGTGTCCCTCAGATACTCAAAAAGATACTGAAGAAAAAAGAGCAAGCTGGAGATGGAAGACTGGAGAATAGGTGTTCAGGATTCAGTAAAAGGGGAGAGGGGCTCTACAGTCATTCAGCAGAGATCAATAATGTTTTGGATCTATGCAGTACATTTTTTAAAATTTTATGTATTATTATTAATATTAAATTTGCTATAGGGCATGTGTGCTCACCAGAGAGACAGAGAGAGGGAGAGAGGGAGGGAGGGTGAGAAAGCAAGCTGCCAGATCCAGGACTCAAACCACAATCAGCCATGTGGGAGTCCAGCATCCAGCCACCACGCCACTATGCAGCACTTTTTTTTTTTTTTTTTTTTTGAGAGGTTTTTGCTATAGGGCACGTGAGCTTGCCAGAAAGAGAGAGAGAGACAGAGAGACGGAAAGTGAGAAATCACCCCCCCCAGGGGGGGATGGCCACATCGCAATCCCTTCTCCTCCATTCTTCTTGGGTTCTTGAGCACTCAAACACACACGCCCAGTGTGAATTTAAGCCACTGGGTTCAGGACTCGAACTCCATTCAACTACATGGGAGTTCAGCGACACAGCCATTACACTAACTGCTGGTTACTATGCAGCACATTTTATCTGAGGAACTCAACATCTCCCCTTCGCTTTCTCTTTTTTTTATTATTATAATTTAAAGTTTACTTGCTTACCTATTTTAATTTGACCAGAGAGGGACAGAGCAAGAAAGAGAAAGGGAAAATGAGAAAGCAAACCACCATGTCCAGGACTTGAACCACGGTCAGCCATGTGGGAGTCCAGTGATGTAACCACTATGCCATCTGTCCTTCCCCTCCCCTTTATGTTCTACTTTAGCTTCATGGTAGGAAGGTAGGAAGCTGGCACTGATACTCATTCTATTGAAAGAATCTCAGCTATGCAGAAGTTAAATGTAGTTTCAAAGAGAAACCCTTCTGAGTATCTTGAAGACTAGACTTCTCTCTCCAGCTGCTCCAGATTCCATATTCTGTCTTGACCCTATGGAGACGAATCACTAGGACCCTCTCCAGTGTAACTTGGTCCTGCTACACTTCTTCCCATTCATGTCATTCATGTGCCCGCCAAATTGTACTTGAGGGTTTTATTTATATTCATTTATTTATGTTAATTTGATCAGAGGGACGGATTGAAAGAGAGGGAAAGTGAAAAAGCAAGCCACCAGGTCCAGGACTCAAACCACGGTCAGCCATGTGGGAATCCACCATTTGCCAAATCCCATACTTGAAGTTTTTCTCAGTGATAAAAACAGAGATAAGCTGATATTTTCCCGTCTATTAGTCCTGTGTCTAGTTGTGTTGCCTTTTATTATAATAACCAGTAGGAAAATTCTTCCCACCCTATCCTCTAAGAAGCAGAAACATCTCTAATACCAAGTGTGTGCACAGCATTGTTATCAAGTAGTCATCCCAAAGTAAGACAGCAGAAAAGAGATGAATATCTTCAGGCCAGTGAGTGGTATGTTGGTTAAGGAGGCTGGACCCCGTGTGCCTACTGCATGGTGCAGGTGCTATACCCAATAGCTTGAAAGCATGCTGGGCGTGTGTGCGTATGTGCACAAAAGGAAGGAGAAATAGGAGATAATAGAGAAGGGATTGCAGCATGATCGTGCCCCATAGGGGGTGCTTTCTTGCTTTCTTACTCTCTTGTGAGCACCCACATCCCACATCTTCCGGCAATTTGAAGAAAAAAAAAAGGTCGAGGGACTAGCAGGTAGCTTGGTGTGTAAAGCGCTGGACTTCTACTTGGCCTACAATGGTTTTAGTCCTGACGCTGGTGTCTTGCTTTCTCACTTTCTCTCTCTCTCTACCTGTGTGTGTGTGTGTCTCTCTCTGGTCAAATTAAAGTAAATAAATGAATAAATAAAATTAAATAATTCTTTTTTAAGAATTATTTTATTTATTGTTATTTTTTTAATTTTGACCAGAGACGAAGAGAGAAAGGGAAAGTGATCAAGCAAGCCACAAAGTCTGGGAATTGAACTGCAGTCCACCATGTGGGAGTCCAGTGCCTTAACCATCATGCCACCTGGTAGTTTCAGAAATAAATAATTCTTTTCTAATTATATTTTTTTTAGAGAGTTTCTTTGCCATAGGTTATGTGCACTCACCAGACAGACAGACAGAGACAGAAAGTGAGAAATCATGCCCCAGGGGTGATGGCCATGCCACAGTCCTTTCTCCTCCATTCTCCTTTGGGGATCTTGGGCATACATGCATATGTGCCCAGCATGAGTTTCAAGCTTCCAGATTCAGGAACTGAACCATGTTCAACTACATGAGAATCTAGCGATATAACCATTATGTTATCTGC